TATATATATATATATATATATATATATAAAAGCGAAATTTGCTTCGAAAGCGGGGCTTTCAGCGAACTATTTTATCGGTTAAGTAGTCAAAGATAAAATGAGTGATTTTGTACCAACTTCAGTTAAACAAAGTAATTACTCCGGCAACTGTGTTGCAAATTAAGTGCAATCCTGAAAACATCAAATATGTCCACTCCGACCAGATCATCCTCAATGTCTGCGTGTAACCAACTTCCCTCGAGTAAAATGACTCCCACAATTTTGATTTGTTTCTGATGCATCAGATTCTGAATTTCATCGGTTTTTCTCACGAACGAGCAAATTTAGTAACTTGGATAAATGGACGGAATCTTTATTCCGTTTTTTTTTGGAACTTCGCCTTGGCACAACCCGCCAGCCATCGTGAGGCTTATTGTGGTAACCTTGGGTTCCATATCTAAACCATTTGTAACCAATCCTCCCGGAATGACCAAACACGAAAGCAAAAAAAGAATTCGTAACAGAGGAGCTGTATGACAAAGTAAAAGCACGGCCGAGGTTCAAAGGCCTCATCACGATTTTGTCACATTGCACTGCAATCAGGAAGGTATTTCTTCGTTCTCTTTACTGGATTGCTGCATTGCGTCAATACTGTTTACTGGTCCATTTCTCGGACGACCTTGACACAAATTAACATTCAAATTTCAAATAAAGTTCTATTAGACACACACACACCTTCAAATCAAAGTTTGGCTTGCGATCATGTGACTGTTGCTGTGTCGGTTTTGTGTGACGGAATATATGTCCCATTCGAATTGGTATTCGTGTTCGCCTCTGCGATCAGAAAAACAAAACGGATCAACCTGTAGTGGATGGATTGTGTATTTTGGTTAGGAGAAATTAACGGCGGTAATTTGTCCCAGTTGCGTAATCTGACTCTTTCATATCAAATTCTTGATAGCCTTATTTCTTTTACTGTTAGCATCCACAGCTTTCCTAATTTGTCATTCTTCCACCACATATGTTTGAACGCAGAAGATCGCAGAATCAGATTTAAGAATGGAAGTTTACTGACTGGCGCATTACTAGCACACGTTGAGTGGCAATAGTGGGACCTCATGTAGACCTGTGCGTCCACAATCAGAGAACAATCAACAATCGGCACCTTCCTGTGATCAATCAAATTCTGTTCGCATATATCACATATGCTTAATCGCTTTGCAGTCGTCAGAGTTACCCGCACTCGTCCGAACCAACGGATGTTTTGCCACGGGAGAGGCTGTGTTGAACAAATCTCCACTCTCTGTAGGATTCTGGAACACCGCTACAAGTTCAACAGCCTACATATTTCATTGACTTCCGCTCTGCGTTTGGCTCTGTCGACAGAGAATCTTTGTGGTGCATATTGAGGTCCGATGGGATACCTGAGAATTTCATTAGGTTGTTGAAGTCATACTAATCAGGAACTTGGGCACGCGTCCGTACCTATGGGGAAGAATCAGTTGAGTTTACCCCAAGCTCTGGAGTTAGGCAAGGTTATCAACTATCCCCGGTGTTATTTATTTACACTGGAGATTGGATAATGCGACAAGCACTCATCGACCACCCAGGAGTGCAGTTTGGTCCATGGATTTCTGACCTCAAGTTTGCGGATGATATCGCTGTACTTGGAGACATCATGGACAACCTCCAGTCTGTTGTCAATCGTATAAGTCAGTTTGGCTAGAGATCAACAAGTCGAAAACGAAGACATTTTTGACCGAAAATTTTACCATGGCACAATCCCTNGAATCAAACGAATTTTTCAAGTATCTTGGCTCTACGATAAGACCAAACGGCCGAGATAAGGATGAAATCCAACTCTGTGTAGATGGAGCTAGAAGAACCTTCCTACAAACCGTTGTGGAATCGATCCGAAAAAAGCTTAAACACTAAGCTTCGGGTTTATCAGGCTTCCATCCGCGCCATCCTCACTTATGGTTATGAAAAATCGGCCGCTAAAAATACAAGAGACAAGTAAGCTCGAAGTCTTTGATCATTGATGCTTGCGCCGCGTCTTGAAGTAAACTGGAGAGATCTGATTTTCCATGATGAGGTTCGACTGCGCTTCTTGCACATTGACAAGCTTTCAAAAATGTTAAAACACCGGCACCTTCAGTGGTTTTGCCTCCGCACCGTGCCGTGGATGGCGACTCGGTGATCAAGTGAAGACCTGGAGCAGTACGACCAAGGCGGAGTTTGAATTACTGGGCCTCAAACCCATATATGGAATTTGTAACTGAAACCAGAACTGGGTTTCACATTGCGTCAACCTTGCTACCGATTGTCATGCATGAGCCGTCATCATTAGAGACATCCAACAAGTTGGCTTATCCTCCCACAGGGGTGAGTCGATTAAAATTCAAAAAATCAATATCACAATTCTCAAAATAAGTTCGTCGTTTTGATTTTTTATTTGAAATGTGCTCCCTGGATATATTCAGACAACATCGAGAGTATTTCAATTGGTACTATTCATTTCGGTGCACACAAGGGTTCTGTTCATTGTGCTCAATAACACTGAGCAAACGAGGCTTGAACAGTTCGTAGGAGTCGATTCGCTGTTCGATCGAACGAACCGGGAGTACGCGATATGGTTTAGAACTCGTTTTACAACTCTGTCTCACTGTTGGGGAGATTGGATACAAGCGCAAATCCTGGCCGAGAGTCAACTCCTTACGTTTCACTGTACTGATCAGACTTCGATGATTCTTATCGACGGGACCGAATGCAGACTGTACATAGAGGAATTCCAGGACGGTTTGCATCTGAAAGGAGGATGAAATACGAGAAGGATGAGATGTGTGTGTGTGTGTTTGGTTATGCTAGATTTCGGAGGCACCAAGAACAAGGCAACAAGGCAACAAGAACAGGAACAATCATTCACCGAACGAGTAACCGCAACAATGTTGACTGCGCCATATGTGCCAAATTTGCAAACATGACATAAAAATCCAGACCTAACAGTGAACTTCACTCACATGGGTAAAACTGTATGGAACAATGTGATTACATCCAGTCACAAACAACACATACACGGAGAGTATAATCATACTTGATCCAAGTCCGAATCTCTTCACGTCATTGCATGCACGCATGCGTGCGTGCGTGCGTGCGTGCGTGCGTGCGTGTGAGACTTCGAGCACGCTCGGAATCAGCGCGCAGGCCAAAACGACAACTAAACAAGCTGAAAACAATGTTTCCCGTCACAAATTTGAATAAACAAGTCAGAAACATGGTCATTTCGCTGCATCTGTTGACCCGGTGATTGTGTTCACTACCACCCGGATACCATCCAGAGCGGTGAAAGAACCATTGCCCCACTACGCCAAATCAAACTGCATTTACCAATTCAAGTGTGGATACTCAGCCATCTACATAAACAGGACAGAGAGGTCAAACACACTCTGGTGTGGCTTTAGAAAGCAACGGACGACAAGTTCAAAACTGTTACGTCATCAAATGAGCAGAAAAGACTTAGATCTTTGATAACGCAACACTTATTCGAACAAAAACATTGTGGCACTGCAACTCACGCGTTTCAGGTCATCTATAACACAACAAACACAAAGTTATTGAAATTTGCCGAGGTTCTATCCATTCATACCCTCAAACCCGATGTATGCAAACAACGTGAATGGTTAGTCACATTAGATTTGCCTCGGTGATTCACCCCCTACCCTCTCCTGTTCTTTGTTTTACTGTGTTGTGCGTTGTTATTAGCGAACATGTCCTCATCTCACATTGGTTATCTCACTGATTATATAAAAATCACTTTGACTGCAGTATGCAGTACAGATGCAGTGAAATGACATGTTTATTCAAACTCAACAAGTGTTCATTGCGGGTATTGTGGAAGCGAAAGTAAGATATATTGAATAATATGATGTATTGGCATGAATACGAATACGAATCATTGAAAACGAGTCTGTTCGCCACTCTGTTGTTTTTGTTTGAAATATGCTCTACGTGGGACGTGTTGGGCAAGCACGATACGTCTCGAAAATGTTGCAAATCTTCATTCGCAACCCCATCATCGTTTAACGAACAACCTACAAGAATGTATAAGGTGAATGGATAAAATGGACCTGTTTTGAGAAAATTTCCAAGAAGTTGAACCTTCATGTTCGGTACACATCGTGCACAGTCTAACTGTGCATGCATAGGTTTTCAAGGAGTGTGACGTAATAGCATAGAACAAGAAGAACATCTCTGGCGCGGTTTCATTATCGTAGCTTTCAATGTCTCCAGTCGAACAACTGCAGACCTCATCAATGGTTGTATACTCTTTCAGATACGTGTGTGGTACATCTTATGTTGGTCGAACGGCACGACAGCTATCTATCCGGATCAAGGAGAACCACCCACACTGGTTAGGGCTAGGACAGCCCGGAATTATAAACAGCTCCATCCTAGCCCATTTAGTCGACACCGGACATCAAGTAAATCCGGACGTCACCTTTCAACTGTTTATCGTGTCCCACACACCAAATTCAAGCGTGTTTAACTGCGCACTCTAACAATAGCCGAAACGCTCGGGATAAGAAAGTTGACCCCTGACCTCTGCAACCAAAAGCGTTTGGTTCAGTCACTCCAACTTCCATGGCCCATGATCGATCGGTCCGAGTGTGTCCTGCGTCCAGTCACTCTGAGACCGTAACTTAGTTAAACTGCATAGTTATTTGGACACTAACTTCAAAGACAAGTGGCGCTTAATTTACCTGATTTTGCTGTGTATTTCTGCATGCCTCTTCTACAACTCAACGGTCGAACTTGACATGATTTTCTCCAGACCGACTGTTCGCATTGTGCAATGCAATGGAGGACCATCAGGTATGTACAAACATACCATAACCAACGGGGATTACTGTAAGGGTTGTAATACGCACCGATCACGAATTAAGAATCACGTATCAGAAAAACGGACGCTACTGAAGAACTGAATCACAATGGCATTTGCACAGCAGTATCCCGCGCAACTAAGATACAAGGAAAAGGCCACAGGAGTGGCAGCTCATTCAGTGGAGGAAATCATGGGGTTCAAATAATATGTGCAAGACAAATTCATTGGTCATCCAGTAATCTACCAATTACGTGCTCGTATTCCTGGTGTCGTACAGCTTCTATCTGCACCACACGGCTTCTGATTGGTCGTCACAATCGGCCTATAGTTTGTTGTCTAGAAGCTGTAACACGTAGGTGCTTTTCTGGAGTCACCTGGGAAACTTGACTAATCACATTTGTCCGAAAACTGTAACGGATTGCCCCGTGGTTTGCGTCATCCCGTTGGCTAATATGACCACAATTACTGATGATAATTGGGTAATGATAATGAGCATTTCACCGAATCAATGCCAGACACAGAACAGTCTAACTCGAGGTTACTTATCCGCGCGTTCTACTCTTTCTGTGTCAAAAAACTGCGCAACCATCGATGATGAAAATCCTCCAATCTGTAGACATTTCCTACTTGCAAATTCCAGATCCCAACAATCGTAAAGCAGAATGCATTATACTGTGGCACATACCTGTCAACTTGAGCACAACTTCAGATGTACGTTAAATGTGCCGAAGCCCCGGGGTACGGTATTCCAGTCCTGTGTTACCACTATCTATCATGCTACTGTCTCGGATGAAGTAATAAACGTGAACCAGTGCACGACAGTCTAGCTTCAGATCAGTAGGAGTCAACAACCATTCCGTTCAAAGTATACGCCGAAAGGAACAACAGAGGTTATCCATGAATCAACTGCGCTATACGCGTCCTCCGTACATATGATCGGATGGACATAGTCTTCGGCATAGTCGAAAACAGACCGGGTTTCTCCAACTGCCCACTCAATGCCAACTTGATGGAGACCGGTCGGAATGTAATCATATCCCATTTAGCTAGAACGATATCGAACAGGGATGAAGAAATACGGCACTATGGAAGAATATCGTTCCTAGTTTCAAATGATCTACTTATCTCGTCTTAAACCATTAGACTGTGACTTCGGCAGAGTAAAACAGTTCCTTTGTCATTAGCGGAAGCGAAAAGTGTCTCATCAACAGTTAAACTAATGCTAGATACTAGGTGCCACACATCGAAGTAGGATGAAGGCTAGCAATTCAATGACCATTAAAGTCAAACTTATCCCCCCACCCCACCCCGTGGTCTGCTCGATTCGAGAAAATCGATGAGAGGTAACTCGTCAGCATTTTCTCTGCTTGCTGCTCACTGTAAACTCATTGTAAACAGCTGTGAGGCAGAACTGGTCAGACAGTGGTGCAGTAGTATACGTGCTCCGGCCTGATCGACATTGCGGATCCGTAAATCTTCCCATCGCCAGTTGTTGTGTTCGGCCTAGACGTAGAATGACACGAGCGACTCTTGCTTAGCTCTCAACGATAACGCGGAGAGAGAACACAGTTTGAGACAACAGTCAGTGTGTATTCCTTGATTAGATANGACATATCGATTGATCGATCGGACAAACATTGGCTGACACGTTCTGTGATTATCCATTCGGTTCAGCCTGTCCGAAGCGCTGTGAGCGTTCGTGTGACCTGACTTGGAGGCGTGCGCGATCGGACGGGTTGCTTAAGCTCCATCCTAGCATTTTCAACTTTGGTGAAACATCACGTCGTCGCCACAGGTGTTTTAGTCCGGCGTACGCTACGTGGGCCTTCGAAATGCGTGCGGCTATCTCCTTTGATGCGCTGCCGCCGTTGGTCAAGCAACTATTCACGATTCCTGACAGTCTAGTTTCGGAACGGGACTCGGTGAAACTCAGTCTTGCTGCATCACGTCGTACTTTCAAGGTGCAAAGCAAATGCTGAAGGGAGCAAAAGAATTTGCTAGTCTGTCAAATGCGTTTTGTGCATCCTCCAGACATATTGACAGACAAATGATGTCGTTAGTTTACTTTAAACTGTACAGCTTTTCTCCAGCTGTCCATTCAATATCTACATTTTGGATACCCATAACTGCGTTGTCCAGTATTGAGTCCGTGACGAAATTAAACAGGAATGGCGAAATAAGGCACCATTGACGAACACCGCTGCTAGTTACGAACGACCTACTCAGCTCGCCGTAGACCGTTACACTATCAGAAGTATGCGAGTAGAGTGACCTCGGTAGTTTTAAAGATTTGATATTTCCATTTCATTAGCCATTGTTGGCCACACCAGTTTTCACGGTCTTTGTTGAGACTCTTCGTGAGCTGACGTTGCAGACACCATCTACCCTGCTTTGATCCCCGTAAGATCGGGATTTCTCCACCAGTGCCACTGACTTATCAGATACCCACTGCTCCGGATCGGCTATCGCTTCAGATCCACAAGCATTCATCACTCACCCTCGTAAACAGGAATGAAATAGCATATTCTAAAAATCATGACACCATATAGCACATACAGTTTTTTTTTATCACAAACGCATCTTTCAAATTGAACTGACAACTGGCGTGATCCTAACACGGATAGATGACTAAAGACAGGAACATTGTGACGTTCAGGTTTACAGATGTCGCCCAGTTGTGGTCTACTGGAAAGCAAAGTGGGAATACACATGCACAAAGATTTGTAAAACGCTGCTCAACAGTATGCACACACTGGTGACAAATATATCTACCGTGAGAGAAGAGTTTTCTTAGTTTTGTCCACCATAGCCGGATATTTTATTGCATATTTCTTTTCGTATTACCCCCTTTGTTGAATATGTTGCACAGGATTGCGTAATTGCTTGCTTCACTGACAAACACACTACCTACTGTTTTCAGTTTCATTTTATATGATTTTGTAAATTTGAATCTATAAATGCTGAAAATTAACCTATCCGGGTGAGTAAAGCTACTACTGACTTGATTTGACGTGATATTCACTTTTTACCACATGGTAGTGATTTTGGTGAACATTTATCAACGAAAATCCGTTGTGCTATTCTCTCTTTTGAAACTAAATGGAAACGTTCCTATGATACGGTAGGATTTCATCGCGTAGTGTAGATTTGTCACTGCGAATTTGCATAAATCGAGAGATCATTGCAACTGAGGTGTATCCTAATTCACGTAAATTGAATCAAACCACTCTTTACTACCGATTGAATATCAACAGTTTTGAAAACAAACTCGCAGCCCGTAGAGCAGATGATCATGCCGAAATCCCCGGCACTTACGTTTTGTATGCGTGTATAATTGTGTGCGATTCTTTACGGAACCTGTAGATTGTTTGTCAGACCCATTTCGACAAACTGCTAATCACTCTATAGATACCTAGGTTAAGCCCAAAGATGATTTGAATGAGCCAATGACAGTTATTTATGCTCCTGTACCACTTTGATTGGATGGTTCCGTGTTTAAGCTGTTTTATCAATCAATAATTCTCGCAATTCCTCTTTGTAGCCAGTCACCTTGTGGGACTTCCATTTCCGACACCTTCCACTTAGTTGTTCCGGAAATCCGATTGCCGATCTGCGGATTGTCTCTCCTTTGCACCAATCCTAACGGATCTATCGTCCGGGAGGACGGACGTTCTCTACTAGTCACCGAGCATAGATAAGGGTATAATAGTTTCTGTTCTTTACATGACCAAATACATCATAAGAATAATGATGAAAGATGTAGGAGGACAAATTTAATTGTGACCCAATCGAACCGGAACAACTGACTTACTTCGATCAAAGTCTTCAACCACTGGATAAACGTTTCTTTGTCGATGGCCTTTCGGGTTATCTGTAAACGAATGGCGAAAACAATAGAGAATTCGTCATGTGGAATTCTATAGGCTGAACCATAGGAGAACGGCGATGATAATCATCTGTTCGCGTATCATATTTGAGGAACACAAAATAAACAAAACGAACAGAAGTTAAATTAGAACCGTGAGAAGATTCAAATTCAACGGAAAATGTCTTACAACCAATGACTACTACTTAACCAGTCTCAGAATTAAATAAAATAAAACGTGCTCAGCTGACAGCTCAGTAGATAACAAAATCGTGTACGTATACATTACGTGAAAAACGTCGTTTTGCATCAAACCGGTGTGTTTCCATTTGTGTATGAACAAACAAATCAAGCAATCCTTCCGTTAGATTCATTGTTTTTACAATCTTTGGTTTGCAGACACGTGTATAATCATGTGACAACAGTTCCACCTGTCAGGAGTAACACGATCTCGATCAATAAGACCAAGATGCACAATCAGTTATGTATTTTTTGATTCGCGCTACAAAATCGATTTATACCCCAGTCGGTTTCTGCTTCAGTCGTGTTCCACACCTTATGCTACCGGTTATGCATGTGATAATAATTGTCAGACTAATAAAATCAAACTAATTGGTACACGAACTCCAGTTTTATGTGTCAGTCAGATGTATTTTTTATTACAGAAGAACAGCACTTCGGTTTTAGCCTTTTCGTTGCTCGAGGCCACACCAGAACCATTTACCCAGATGAGATACAGTGTGCAACTCCGTTAAACGCTAGCTCATCAATAGCCTGAGGTTATTACTACGAGAAGTAATGAGTAGCAATGGTTTAAGCGTTGAAGAAAGTTTCGACCATAGATAACAGTCACAATAATTTCCGTCTGATTCGGAAAATAGAAATAAGTGATGTAACTAAGCTTATCAACGGCACAATGAGTCACCTGCTGCAATATCGCACTGAACAATGGGTAGAACATTTTAAGGAACAGTTGAACGGCCCCCATCGACACGGTACTTGCTAACTCGTTCTTCGACTGAATAACTACTGCCAGTTTATTTAAGTCCTCCATCTGAACTGGGCGGTGGTGGCCCGGTGGTAACGTCACTAAATTATCTCCCTGAAGGACGAGTCCTCGAATCCCACTACCGCCGCCGCCGCCGGACTTTCCCCCGTTGTGTGTGTTGAATGGCAGTCCCGTTTGGTTGGCCGCTTCTCTTTCCTGTAAATTGTATTTTTGTGTATTCAATAAAAAGAAATCAAATAAAAAGAGAAATGTATAGTTTAATTGTTTCAAAATATAATAGGTCCCAGCAAGGGCTGGGTTTCCCCCACCGGATTTAAGGACGGATGTTCAGCATTGGTCTAGCTTAGACTAGACGCAAATTGTGTGATTAATGCTTGTATAGATCAAACTAAACTTTCACCATAAATTCAAAACAATACATGAGTTCACTACACTGGAGTGAACACCGGTTCCAACTGAATGGTGTAAATCGGTTCTCTTACCGATTTACACTCAAGGTGAGAGATTCTCTTGTGAAAATCACAAAGGAATTAGTTTAATCAACGTTCTCTCTAAACTGCTTGCTGGTATAATACTTCATCGATTGCCCCGTATATGTGAACCGTGCATGTGCCAGAACACAGATAGTTTTAGAGACAGTCAACAGTCGACCCACATCAGTGACCTATCAGTCAGATGTCCGGCCCAATTAGTTAAAAACCCCTACGAACTAGCCCTTTCTTTGGCAAGCCATTTTTGTGACTGAGGAAATTCCAAATTTCTCTAGTAATCTATCGCATATCCATGAATTTTCCATCCGTTCTGAACTGTCTCTTAATTTATCCAAGTGCTTCGAATGTACCTTCTTCCTCTCTCGATCTTGTTTATCCTCGTCGGTCGTAAACACAGATCCCTTAATTATATAGTAGATTCCGTGAACTATTTCGGAGTTACAATCGACACAAACTTAAAGTGGACATCCTATATTTAGCACAGTGTTAAGAATCTTCGTGGAATATCTTTTCAACTTCACAGACTTAGGCATTTCAATGCCAAGTAAACAATCATATCGCTTTTTATTTATCAATGTGTCTTCCCTGTGGTTGGGCTGCGTTACTCGAGAAACACTGTGAAATTCTTCGTCGTGCTTAGTTGATTATCACCAGTCGTGTATCTTTGGCATCCGTTGATGAGTTATCCAAAAAAACTCTGTGAACTTTGCTTGTCCGCATAAGAAACATTTGCACAGAAAACTTTCCCTAAGAGCCCTCTCATCCTTTACGTGGGGATCTATCCGAATGCCGCGATCATTAATTCACATGTTCTATAACTCTCTCTCTCTCTCCCTAAGGAAATTCTCCACTTCTCTAATCTCGCTAGAATCCTTGTAAAAAGATAGCGTACATCTTCTGAATTTGTTAGCAATCAGGGGGAGATTGAATGTTTTCCTTGTATTATTTAGTTTTTTGGATGAGATGTGTAAATTTCGACGGAAATGTGAAAATTTGACACACGCAAAATTCTGTAAAAACACATATACAGTTTTCATTGTTCGTAAAATTCTGGAACACTGAAATAATCATCGTATACCTGCTCTCCTCGGAAATGTTTGTTGTAAACAATACGTATCATCAACCGTGTCGGGTGCCTGTGAAAAACCGAATGGACTAATTCAAATATTCACCATCTAAATTGATCGAGTCATTCGCACACTGTGATAATCATCGACCGTGTAGCTCAGGGGTTAAGGTCCCGATCCAAATGTTCGCGGTTCGAGTCTTGACAGGGACACAAAAATAGTACGCACTGTTGACGAGTCCTAAACAGGACGAAACAGCTGTTCAATGCTCTTTGTCGGTTATCACAAACA